AGGGGGAAACGTGAGACCCCAGGGTCAAGAAATTCACAATTTCGGTAAAGCACCTTAAGACCCTTCCATCTATGAAGAGTATTTGATTCTACCATATCTGGGTCTTGAGGAGAAGATTTTTGAAATTTCAGTCAATTCGACCCTTTTTGGCCCCGCCCCTCAGGCCCCTGGGGGCGTAGGACTAAACCGGCAACTATTTTTGTTGACCTTTGTCCATGGAAGGTCCCTGCAAAATTTCATTGAAATTGGTTCAGGGGTTTTGGAGAATAAGTCGAAAATGTAAATTGTTTACGGACGGACGACGGACGACGACGTACAAAAGGCGATCGCAATAGGTCACTTGAGACTTTGTCTCAGGTGACCTAAAAATCTAAAAATGGACGCAAGTAGCTTCTATCAGAATCAAACTTTGTATTAGACAGGAAATCTTTGCGGTTTATGCGTACACCACATCCTTTATCTTCAATAGAGTCTTATACCAATTAAAACCCATTTGGGATGGCATCGTAGAAACGCGACATTCATGTGGTTTCTTTAACCTAAAAATGGACACAAGTAGTTTCTATCATAATCAAACTTTGTATAGTCAGGAAAACTAGTGGTATAGATAGGAAACTCTAGTGGTATAGATAGGAAATTATAGTGGTATATTCTTAGTCTAATAGCATTCCGTACATACTTCCTTTAGCGTTCTTTAAACTCACTCCCTTTACACCCAGATATATTATGAAGGTATATATATATATATAGAGAGAGAGAAATTTTAAGCTCTACATATCCAGTCTGCTTCCAGAATAAGAAGAAAAGATGGAGACACCGATTGTATATGGCCAGGTTGAAGCTCAAACCGTTAATGGAAAACATAAACTGGTCACAAACCTGACACCTCGGGTGAAAGTGGTAGTGAATCGCTTTGAGGGAAACCAAGGCTTGTATATACACATAAACGCGAGGGGTAAAGGAATAAGCTCATCATGGGAAGAATATGTGGACATGTGCACCCTAAAAGCTGAATTGGACCAAAAGCTTCATTTGCTGCCTCAAGTATGTTGTATTATTTTTTAGATTTATGTCATCTTTGTTTTTTTAGTTTGATTTCTTTTCATTTAGCCAACATTGTAACGTAGAAAATTGATTATATTTTTTTTCTCGTGTTTTTTTAATTTTTAGATTCAGAGTCAAATCAACTACCAGACACAAAGCCAACCTCAACAACAAGTTCCGCTTCAACAAGCCATGCCCGCTCAAACCCTCCAGCACGTTCCGCTTCAACAAGACGTGTCAATTCAACCTCGCCAGGCTCAACAACAGGCATATATTCAAATTTCTCAACCTTCAAACATTTGGGAAGATTTTGCATGAGTGAAGATGCGATATCGTGTATTCTTCCGATTGAACAATGAACTTGTCGATATACCTGAAGGACAATGTATAAAATCTATTATTGATTTTAAAGTAAGTTTCATATTTGTTCCTCATCGAATGTGTTTTGGATATGAACTGTTAAAGGCAATTTGTACTAGATTGAGGAATTTATACCCAGAGCTTTCTATACGTACAACTCTTTACCTAAGAAATTATGAAATTTTAGAGAAACATTATTTAGAAGATCACAAAATTCATTTCATTATTTTTGTATATGTTGGATGATTTTTAAGTAGTATCGACGATGTATTTGTACATGTATTCCGGTAGAGAATAAAACATTATAAAACTGAAGTATTTGTTGTTGTATCGTCATTCAGTAAAGCATCATGGAATGGTATGTCGGAGAAAGTCTCGTCAAATTTCAATCACCGTGTCGTTTAATGGTATGTGGAGCTTCTGGTTCCGGTAAAACCTTCCTGACAAAGAAAATATTGGAACATGCTAATGGTATGTTTAGCGAGATACCAGAGAAAATTGTTGTATGTTACGATACGTGGCAACCCATGTTTGATGACATGAGGTTTGTTTGTTTGTTTAACGTCCTATTAACAGCTAAGGTCATTTAAGGACGGCCTCCCTTGTGTGCAAGATGCATGCGCGTAGTGTATGTGTGTGTATTTTGGGAGGCTGCGATATGTTCGTGTTTGTCTCCTTGTTATAGCGCGGAACTGATGCCGACTTTATAGTGCTATCTCACTGAAACATACTGCCGAAGACACCCAGCAGGACGCCCCACCCGGTCACATTATACTGACAACGGGCGAACCAGTCGTCCCACTCCTAATTTGCTGAGCGTTAAGCAGGAGTAAAAACTACCATTGTTTAAGACTTTGGTATGTCTCGGCCAGGGGACAGAACCCAAAGCCTTCCTCACAGGGGCGAACGCTCAACAAATGGCCAAAAGTGAGGCATTGTCAAGGGAGACATTAGGAAGAAGAAAGTTATTTAGAAAGGAGAGAAGAGATAAGGTCCCAAATTTAGTCGCCTCTTACGATCATGCAATTGGGGGCAGCAGGTACAATTCTTACGCCCTACCTGCAGGATGACATGAGGAAAAATGTGAATGAAATTACGTTCCACCAGGGATTACCAAACGAAGATCAATTCGATGAATGGGGTGAAATCGATGGACATAAATTATTGGTTATAGACGATTGTATGGTAGAAGGTGTAGATAGTCAACATCTCATGAATATGTTTTGCGTGAAATCACACTACCAAAATTTTACTGCGATATTTCTAGTTCAGAATGTTTTTCAGAAAGGTAAAGTCATGCGTACGTTAAGTTTAAACACGCAGTATTTCATTGTATTCAAAAATTACAGAGATCAAATGCAGACAGAAATATTAGGAAGACAAATATTTCCTAGACAACAAGCTTACTTTAGAGAGTCATATCAGTTAGCAACAGCAAAAAAATATTCATATTTACTCATAGACGTATCACCGACCAGAACCGAAGTGGATATAGACGGCAAACTGACGGAGATGCCACCACTTCGCACACATATTTTGCCAGGTGAGGACACGGTGCTGTATTTTCATAAAAAAAAGTTGTAAATCGATTAAACCGTGAAAATTCGAAGAACGACCGTGTCTGCCACATGATCTCTAGAACCTATTCTTGTGAGACTGGAGAATTTAGAAAAACGCCTAGTATAGCTTCCAGTCTGGAATCGGCCTATGGAAGATACTGGATACACATCAACATATTGAAATGGACAGGAGTGGTGGTCTTATTATTATTAGCATTAACCACTACATCGCTTACCATGGTGGTTAATTTTAAGCTTACAAAATGTTTAAATTCGATGAGTGACTGCATCAAGATTGTGTCTATATCTCCAACCCAAAATAATGCCATCCATTCAGCTGATATTAACAACACGCTATGCAGCCATGCCAAACAATATCCTCTGCCAGATGAATATTTCGTCACTGTATGCCGTTACCAAGGTCAACTACGCATCGACCTCAGACAATTCATAAATGGTAAAGCTACAATCAGAGGAATTGTCTTGAATGCTCGACAGTGGAATTATTTACGACGAATAAATTCTTATATCGACACAGCTATAAAGAATGCATCGTGAATTATAAAATTTGAGTACATGCGACCGAATCATCATTTTACGGATATTCTTACAGAGGATAGCATCTCACAGCTATGGAGTTTTTTTTTTAAACTTTTTAATGATTGCTACATCATCACAAAGAAAAGCAATACTAAAAATTCTGACTGATGAACAGTTGAAACTGTTGATAGAAATCATTTACAACGTTGCTAATGACGTCATAATACTTTCAAAATCGGATAAAAACATCTTGAGGAGATATAAACTAGGTATTCGAAGAACGTTAGTTGATGGACTAAGTAAGAGGCAAAGATGGCAGCGAGTGTTATCTGAGTAAATTACTACCCATCTTCATAAAAAACTACTTGAAATGGCAAGAGAGTTAATGCTGCTACCTAAGGCGAAATACGAAACCTTAATGTCTGGAGAAAAGGAAATGAAAGCAAAGCAAACAATAAATCGAGTGCTAATATGACAAATGAAAAACAAAAAAGGATCGACGAATAAGTTGAAAATAACCTGTCTATTAATGATGTTGATGGAGACGGTGAAATAACTACAGACAAAAACAGCTTCGAAAACTAGTGATACAATTAAAACGATGGCAAACTCTGCACAAAATGTAAGGAGGAGGATGAGGAAAAGAAAGGAGCAACGGGGTGGAAAAATGTATGTAGAATTCAACCTTCTCAGTTCATAAAGGGGTTACCTAACAAACAACCCAAGCGGAAATGGCTGTCATTCAAAATCTAAGTACCACCTCCACATTGCGCATGTGCACCAAGTTGTCACACCTAACATATATATTTCGACGATCGTTTTGAATTGGCTCATAGTATAGCGAAGTGTCTAAGATGGCGGATGGTTTTCTGGCAGATCTATTTTAGAAATACAGCGAGGGCGATGATGAGGCCAAAGCAACTTTGAGAAACTTAAAGCGAAAAGTAGACAGCTTGGAAATGTCGCCTAAGAAACAGAAGACACAAACAACCTATAGCATCTTGTTCTAAAGAGTGTCCAGAAGTCTCTTCTCACAGCCAACACGCACCACAGAAAGATGAGAGGGAGCAGTCGAATTGTGAACAATGCGGCAAAATATTCTTCACTAGGAATAGTTATCTAAAGCATATGAAAGATCACGTCTCACAATTTCCGTGTCCCCTATGCAATACCATTTCAAAACGGAGGTATGATTTACGGAGACACTTAGCAAAACAACATCTCGTGTCTGAAGAGGAACTCTGGTGTTGTGAGCGATGTCCTTAAACATTTATGCGAGAAAGTACATTAAACAAGCATGTGAAATACTTACAAGTTAATACCACACCACAAGCGGACGAAGCACTACGAAAAATTACCGATGGAACGACAGAAGCTGATGATGCATCTGAAACAGATGAAACACCAACGGAGGCAGGCATGGGACAGGATGATATACAGTTCCAATCTGGCGAAATGCAAGCAGAAGTCGAAATACAACCTCGATCTGACGACAATCAATCTGAAGCTGATATGCATCCGATGGACAACGATGAACGACGGGAATACCACCAATATGCAGACGAAAGCAGCTTAAACGGATCAGCTAACATGCGCTACATTTATCCTAACGAGGACGAGGACGGAGATCTGTTGACATTTTTCTCTAACGTTAAACAGGAAGTTAAAGAACATATACACCAAAGATGTGTAGCGTTGAATGGTATCAAATGGTATTTGTGTGTACAAGTGGAACTCGAAAAGGTGGACCGAGAAGGAAACGTACAGAAGGCTTTTCCACATTTCAGAAGCAAAAATTACATATTTCTACCGAGTGAACTTAACAATTATGAGTTAAATAGTGCATTTCAAAAAATGTTTGGGAATTTCGAGGAATTTATTCGGGAAGGATCTAACTGGATATTAAAAAAAATCATAAAACTAGAGGTAAGTACCGTAAATTATTCCCCATTGAGTGGTTCTTCGTATTTACCAACCCCAAAAACGTTTTCACACCACCCCATTGTTAATGTCGCAAAAAAAGACAAAGTTTCAGTGAGGTAGCACTATAAAGTCGTCATCAGTTCCGCGCTATCACAAGGAAACAAACACGAACATATCGCAGCCTCCCAAAATACACACACATACACTACACGCATGCATCTTGCACACAGGGGAGGCCGTCCTTAAATGACCTTAGCTGTTAATAGGACGTTAAACAAAATCAAACAAACAAACAAAAAAAAGCTTTCTGTGGTCTATTTTGGCCTCTCTTCATCCAGTTTCAGACCATCCCGAATTTGTTTCTCATTATGTACAATACGAACATGAATTGAACATGTCTGGTCTGGCATATCCAGTCCCAATAGCAGAGGTTTTCAAATTTGAAAAACAAAACAATATTTCGGTAAATGTGTTTGGATGTGAAGAAAAAGCAATATTTCCCATGTATGTCACAAAGATTAGTAAGGCGGTTCACCATGTAAATCTTTTGTTTCTGCAAAATGGGAAGAACACTCATTATTGTCGGATAAAAGATCTGAACGTGTTTCTAGCAAGAACGAAAGCATGTCGTAACAAAACTCACTTTTGCCATTATTGCTTGCAAGGTTTTACTCGGAAAGACATATTAGATGGGCATATAAAATATTGCTCAAAACATGATCCTCAGCACGTAGAATTACCAAACGAAAAAGAGAATGATTTGGAATTCAAAGATTTCGATAAACAACTCAAAGTACCATTGGTAATCTATGCCGATTTCGAAGCCTTTGCTCAAAGAATGGATACATGCGAACCAAATCCTGCAAATTCAAGTACTACAGCAAACATCAAATTTGAACCGTGTGGGTTTGGGTATCAAGTCGTGTGCATAAACGAAAAGTATACAAAACCACCTGTTATTTATAGAGGCTCTAATGTATCAAGGACATTTTTAGAAAACCTTATAGAAGAGAAAAACATGATAAAAACGGTATTGAATCATGTAGAACCCATGATCATGACTGATGATGACAATACTCGATTTGAATCAAGCCATAATTGCCACATATGTAATAAAACGTTTGCAAAAGAAGATTTCAAAGTAAGAGATCACTGTCATTTGATTGGGAAATTCAGAGGTGCAGCACACAATGCATGCAATATTAATTTCAAGTATCCGAAATTCGTTCCGGTCATCTTTCACAATTTAAAGGGATTTGATGCTCACATACTCTGTGAAAGTCTTGGATTATTCAAAGATCATGATATTAAATGCATTCCAAACAACATGGAAAAGTATATATCATTCAGTCTTGGGAATCTAAGATTCATCGATTCGTTTGCATTCATGTCACAAAGTTTGGAAACACTCACAGAAAATTTGGCAAAGGAGGAATTATCAAAATTCAAACATTTCACAAAGGAATGTTCTAAAGTGGAATTATTACTGAGAAAGGGAGTATATCCCTATGAATATGTAGATAGTCCCGACAATTTTTTGGAAAATCAACTCCCTTCACATGAACATTTTTATAGTCAACTAAGTAAATCTCACATTTCACTACAAGATTACGAGCATGCACAGAAAGTGTGGAAAGAAATGAAAATTCAGAATCTAGGCCAGTATCATGACCTTTATCTGAAAACAGATGTCTATTATTAGCTGACGTATTCGAAAATTTTAGAACCATATGTCAAAATTACTATGAGCTAGATCCATGTCATTACTACACAAGTCCAGGATTAGCATGGAGTGCTGCACTGAAAATGACAGGTGTGCATTTAGAACTGTTAACAGATCCGGACATGTTTCTGTTCTTTGAGCAGGGGGTGCGTGGTGGTGTTTCCATGATCTCTAATAAATATGCCGTTGCCAACAATCCCTACAACCCCGAAACTTATGATTCTTCCAGACCTCATTCATACATTATGTATGCAGATTGTAACAATTTGTATGGAAAAGCAATGTCGGAACCGTTACCTGTTGGAGAGTTTAAGTGGATGGATGATGTGAATAACTTTGACGTCACAAATGTTCCAAAGAATGGAGATTTAGGTTATGTGTTAGAGGTAGATTTAGAATATTCTGAAGAATTACATGACTCTCATTCCGATTACCCCTTGGCTCCGGAACGTAAAAAAGTCGGGGATGGTGAACTTTCTACTTACAGCAAAGGCTTATGGAAAAAATTACATCCTAGTTCAAAACATACAGGTACAAAATTACATGGTCGAGTGGCCACCGAAAAACTGATACCAAACTTAGAGAACAAAACCAAATACATAGTTCACTACAGAAATTTACAATTGTATTTGGAATTAGGAATGAAACTAACAAAGATTCATAGAGTGTTAGAGTTCAGACAGCATCCATGGTTGAAACCCTGTATTCAATTTAATACTTCAAAGCGGGCAAAATCTAAAAACGAATTTGAAAAAGATTTCTTCAAACTCATGAACAATGCCGTTTTTGGAAAGACGATGGAGAACGTGAGAAATAGAGTAGATATCAAGCTTGCACATACGGAGAAAAAAACTGACGAAATACTGTGCAAGACCCTCATTTCAGAGATTTAAGATTTTCAACGAAGATCTGACAGGTGTTGAGAATGCAAAGCTAAAACTACTTTTAAACAAACCCGTTGATGTTGGACAGGCCATTCTCGATCTTTCTAAGTGCGTCATGTATGAATTTTATTACAAATACCTCAAACCTAAATATGGAGACGGGATAAAACTTTTGTTTACCGATACAGACAGTTTTTGTTATGAAATTCAAACACAGGACATCTATGCTGATATGTTGAGAGATAAACAGTACTTTGATTTTTCCAATTATCCTCCAAATCATTTTTGCTATAGCAACACAAACAAGAAAGTACCGGGATATTTTAAAGATGAGACTAGCGGAGAGGTCAGTCATAGGAGATTTTACCATTGTGACTAACACAATCTGTGAGAAACAAGTTGCGAAATGTATTGCGAGAGCGACCATTAAGCGTGACTTGCGTCACGAGATGTATAAAGAGTGCTTACTTGAAGAGAGAAATAGAATGTGTGAGATGAGCTCGATTAGGTCTGAAGGTCATAAATTGCATGTATACACCATCAACAAGTCTGGTCTCTCCGCCTTTGATGATAAACGCTATGTTTTGTCAAATGGTTTTGACACGCTTGCATATGGTGATTATAGAATCCCGTATTGTACATAGTTCATGCGTTTCTATTGTATTTGATAATAACTCATTGTGTTCCTTTTTTATGTACATTGAATAAAAACTGACAAAGGATTGCATTGTAAGCATTTTTTTTATTTACATTTGATACAGACATGAAAAATATTCGAGCTATGCATGAAGGTACAACAGGTTGTGAAAAAGCAGCAGCACTGCTTACAATTCAGCACAACATGTCTGATAAGAATGTCTGCTGTAAGACCAGCATGGAAAAGTTTTCGAAATGTATTCATATACATAATTGTCATTTTCTTCTAAGTTATTTCCAAATGGTTTGACGATGGATTTCATGGGAATACCTCTACAACGATTCAACAGGAAATACAAACAATATTGTCCACACACTCTCGATGTATAACTCTGCAATTGTCTATCGTTGTATGTACTAGCTTCAAAGGAAAAAGAATCGGGTGGGTGACCTTCTTATCCTTAGATGTATAATAAAACGCTAACCAATGTCTTCCTGGACTTTCACTTTTGTCTGTATTGACGATATAACCAGCTGGAAATGTTTTTATTTCCTGTGGTACCGATGACTCTTTGTCTCATAACAGGATCACAGTCTATGACGCAACGTAACTGTGAGGTATTCATGATAACACAATGTCTCTCGCAGCGTTGATTTCGAAGTAACCAGGATATTCACAATAAATGATACAGGATACTGCTGAGGTTAGTGCCGTTCCAAAGATTACCTCTAGCCTCACGTTTCCCTGTTTAAGCAAGGTAAGGTATTGATTGGTTTGGAAGCTAGGTTCCAATTCAAAGGTATAGAGTGCGTATCCTTTTGCAATTTCGTCCCTCTCTATGTCGAAGCCAGAATCATTTTGCCATTTCCCCGTCGAATGTAACATGTTCCTTAGAACGGGAATGATGGTCTGACCGCCAGTGCTGCCATACTTGAGTTTTAAGGGGTTTCCTCCGACTGGTATTCCATCCACATAGAGTCCTATGGATGTGACGTCGTGGGGCTGGAAAAACCACGGGTTCTGTTTATAGTCACCGGTGGTTCCGGTGGCGTTCACAAATCCGACTACCACGAGGTTTGGTCTTAGACCTTGGAAGATATTATCATAGGTGAAGTTTGTTAACCCCACAGGAATCGTCATCTGTTTGACCATGGTCTGAGTAAACGGATATTTTGCATTAGTCACCTCGAGAGCCTGGCTTTGTGCATAGATGACTGCTGGGTTGACCTTGACTTTACTCACGCGCAGTCGAATGTCTTCTAATGATACATTATAATCGGCAGAGGCGGCCCCGGAAAGGAGGCAAAAACTTGGTTTGGATCTATAGAGTTTCACGCTGACGTTAACTTGATTCAATAAGTACCTATTCATCTTAAACAAATCGTGATAGAGAGGCCCGACCATATCTACCACCTTCCCACCTTATACGTTATTAATGTACGTATTGTTTCCCGTGTTTTAACGGCTATCTTAGCCGTGTGATATGCAATAAACGGTAGTTAACTTTGAAACAAGGTGTTGATTGATTTATAACTCGGATACTCCTCCACATCTGACGGACCTTTGTCTGACTGTACAGACGGACGCAAAGGGACGTTCTTGGGATTGCCGCCGGCCAGCTTGTCGGTAGATGTGGGGAAAACATACATAACTATACGATCACTTTCATCTACCGACGCTGGGCAGGCTCTCCCCACGGACGTCCTATTACAGTATCATTGATTGCAATGCGCCATTAAAATATTTCCGTTGAAGACTGCAGTGTCTGTTCGTCTCTCCTCAGGTATTACTGTGCACCTTCAGCCACAAACTCGGGGTAACATAATATGTAACTAATATGAATGCTCTCGAACTGTGGTGAAGCTATTTGCACCGTGTGTGTTCAGTATTTAAGGTATATAAACAAAACAAAAAACATTGTTTTGATATGACCGGAAATCGTGTCATCTGTCACTCTGATTCTAGGCAACATGTTTTGATTCTTGTCTGAATTATTCCCGCGGTCTTTCAAGCCACTTTATTGTTTGGATTCTGTAATGATATATGTGAATTCCGGATATTTGGTCCGACATTATTACGTAACCTTATTGGTTCTAATATTAGTATAAAAAGCGCATGTTGAGAGAGAGCTCGCTGCCATCTTGTACCATCATGTTGTACGCTCCAGTGCTCCTGAATAAAAAACCAAGATCTTTGCATTGATGACTTCTACTGATCATTACAGACTCGATATGGTTTATTATGCTTTCATAACTGGTATCGAGCCATTGGATATATACATATGTCCATGGTTTCGCCTCTTTGTTAGCTATATTTGAACGGTGTATTATCAAACCGTCGTTATAGACAGATGATCTTTACAGACAGGTGGTTGTTTTTTGTAACAAACAAAACCAGAACACCAAATTAATTGTAAAATAAACAACAGTGGAATCAGTACGAGATACTTTGTTGTGCTTGTACAACTGAAGGCGGAACATATATCAAGAGATGTCTAAAAATACTGTTCCATGACTTCTACTTTGAGGACATAAATTTGGACGAATATGTATACGAATATGCGACAATTCGACCGACCTTTTATAAAAAATCAAGACGGCCCTTCATCTACCACCTGTGCTTAACTTATCATATTCTATTAAACATCATGTCAGTTATTTGCAAGCATATACAAAATGAGAAATCAACCACAATTTTGAACGAATCTGTACAAGTATGCTGATTCTGGATCTGGGTCGTTTCGTCCCAAATCCCATTCGTCCCTTAAATATTTTATTTTGAACATCAGTTGAATTTTAAAATGAAAGCTTTGGCCAGCTGTTGTTGCACTTTACTACCAAATCTTTCATCATATGGAAGAAGAATTTGTGTTAAATCCTGATGATGAGACTCATGGACCCATGGACCGATTTAGTTCTTATTCACACCATAACATCCCACCAAATTAGATCCGGTGATCATCGATCAAGTATGGGCGGCCGTTTTAGGATAAAATACATAAACTACTTAAGTGCAAAAACTTTTGCACTTAAGTGCAAAAAACCCAAATGACCATTATGTACTTTTTAAACTTAAGTGTAAAAGATTTCCACTTAAGTGTAAAAAAACTTATTTGCACTTAAGTGCAAAAAATACGGAGAGGTTTCCACAAGAATTTCACCCATCGGTCATTTTCGACTGTTCCAAAATAGAGCTCAATAATTGGTCGACCAATGAGCAGTGTTCTATCAAGCTCGTATCGACCAATCAAATCGTGCATACTATCGCAGTGTGCCCTAGCGATACGTAAACAATATGGCGGCTCCTGTAATACCTCGTGTTAATTTTGGATCCAGCACATGTCACCAAATCGTGTCACATGGAGTTGTCAACCCCCGTGAACAATGATATCAATAATATTGCTACAGCCAGGAACAGTATAGAAGAAGATGGGATTGTGGAAAGCACGAGAAGGTTTTTAAGAAGAAGCTAGACGTTTTCGGCAAGACGGGAGTATGTACAATGTGTCATTTGTAAAGTCGCTGCAGCCTGTAATAACAATGAACACGTACTGTACGTGCTGCTTAATTACATGCTTTTTCGCCATTTCAGTTATAAATTTTGGATAATGGCAGTAATTATTGACTATGAACTAATATTTTGAGATAGGGAGATGTGCTATGATTCGTGAAATATTGTATTCAATATTGATTTTTGACAGACAGATAGCCAGTTTACAAGCCTTGTTTTGGAGCGTATGTGAAATTTTGAGGTCATTCAGTTAATTTTCATGCCATTTTACTGTCATTCTATTTGTAATTCTTGTGAAATATGGTGTCCATATCGAACTACTCTGGCACATCAATTAGAAGTAGTTCAGAGAAAATTTCTTAAATTTTATGCTTTAAAGCAAAGATTGACTGTGATGTTTTATGAAGAAATATGTGTTTATTTTAATTTACCACCTC